TCCAGTCCAGCCTGGGAAGGGCAGAGGATCCCAAGCAGGCAGCCTGCAGTAGGTAGAAGCCCTCCTGCTCTCATACTGACATGAGGGCAGTTCCCCTCGCTTCCCAGGGCTGCCAGACTCTGTCAGAACCTTTTCCCTTCCCCAGTAGCATGCTGTCCCACAGCAATGCCCTCTCTCCATGCAGCCCTTGGGATGAGGAGGCTCTACCCAGCAGTAACAGGGCTGGAAAAGGTCTTTGGTCCCCTTCACACTATCAGTCCAGGAAGCCTTTGGGCCGTGAGCTCCAAGTCCAGATTCGGGCTGCAGAAAAGAGATGGTGTGTGACCTCATAGAGACCAGAAAGCCAGTGACAGGAGTGGCTCAGCCACCCAGTTCTCGTGCTGCAGGACACAGGGTGATGGGGTTTCTGCAGCAGCATCAGTAAGAAGAAAGGCGAGGGGTGCTCTGGAGCCAGAGCACATCTCAGTTCCTGTGCAGCACAGCCCTGGGGAGGAAGCAATGGGGACGAAGGAGGAATGCAGAGGTGCTTTTCTCCCTGACCAGCTCCAGGAGGGCAGACAGGAGAGCCGAGAGTTCTCTGAAAAGTGCTGGGTGAACACAGGCAAGCTGCTCAGCAAACACTCACTGCACCCACAGCACTGTTTCCCAACCACGCAGGGCAAGCCGAGCACGCATTGCTCAGCTGGAATTGGTGCCACAACCCTGCAAAGGCAGCAGAGATCATATGTAACCCCCAATACCCCCAAACCAGCTCTGCTTGCCGATTCCTCCTGTAATCCTGCTACTCGGCTACATCCAGGAAAAGAGAGTAGGGTGTCAACGTGAAACCAAGGACTGCAGCCTGCAGCAGCCTGTGCTGCAGTCTCCCATCTCCAGAGCCGGGTGGGAGGTGGTCCCCAGGCTCCTGGCTCTGCACCTGGAGGTGTCAAACATCTATATATAGCATGGGAGAAGGGCCAGCACATGCCAAGATGCTGCCCTGGAGGCCCGGGACGGGTTATCGGACTCCCCCCGGGCAGGGCGGCGAGTCCCAGGTGTAGGGTGCATGGGGAGGTGCTCACCCACAGTGAGCGGGTTGTGCACAGCGACACGCGTGAGCACACACATGTGGGCGACCCTGCCCGTGGCATCTGCTTGTGTCCATTCCCCGCAGAGCCAGGGCAGCAGGGAGGCTCAGCACAGCCCAGGTAGGCCCCTTCCTGCTGCAAAGAAATACCCTTCATGCCCCATTTGGCTTCACTGCTCCCTGCAGTCAGCGAGGCAGGTGCTGGTGCCACGTGCAAGGCTGCACGTGGGTGCAGGGGCTCCCAGGCCCTGGGCCAGGCAGTTTTTGGCACCCTTGGACATCACACGCTTAAGCAGGAGGTAAAAGGAAGCCAGGAACAGGGAAAGGTCCCTGAATTTTATTATCTTCAGAAGACACCACTAGCATGCCTGCGTGGCTCCTGCTGCATCTCGCCCTTCTCCTCCCTGCCCAACTGTCCTTGGAGAGCGTTATCTTGGGACCTGGAGTTGCACAGACCAGGATCAAAGCTAGAGCGTGAAGGCTGTGCCCCTTTCTAGAGACCAGGACACGAGAGCCAGAGATGAGTCTTCCCTGGTAGACAGTCAGGGTAGAGCACACGGCGAAGTGGCATCGCTTCTTAGAGGAAGGGCTCACGGCAACAGAATGCTGGCATGCCCAAAGGATCAAAGTCTTGCACACACCTGCTTACATCCCACGGCACGGCTATTTCTTCCCTGCCGGAGCCCAGGAAGGGGCTGTCTCTGGTCCGCTGCGGGGTTCCTCGCCTTGTCCATCACCCTGGGTCACCTCTCCCATCCATTCTGCTGGGATCACCCTCTTGGGCAGCTCCACGTAGACACCGTTCTCCCGGAAGGGAGACGGGTGCTGCAAGGAGAAAGGGACAGGGTGTGAATCTCGACACAGGTACTGGAGCCCGTTTGGTGTGGGCAGAAGGCAAGGGATGCTGCGGTCTGGTGTGGGGAGCGAGGGCTCAGGCCCTCACCTTGGGGAGGGGGCCTTGATGCAGGGGGTCACACCAGCCTCACACCCAACACAGCTCAGGGCAGCTACTCGCTTCCTCACCATGGTTATGTAAGTCTCCTCGCTTCTCTTCTTCCTGGCATCCTGCTGAGCCTTGGGTACCTCAGCTCCAGAGACTGAGCAGTAAAGTGCTTCCTACATGCAAGAGACCAGGATTCTTGAAACCGAGCAGTCCCCAAACAGACAATGGCAGACTTATCCCGGTCATAGGACTAGCACCAAGACCATGGCCTCATCATGGCAGCAATCAGCACCTGTGCTCGGCCAGCGTGGGATCCCCTTCCTAAGCGTCCTCAGCCCTGTGCCCGTAACACCCCATGTCAGCGATCCCTCCGTATCTGGAGGGCACACGGCTTTAGATAGTGAGGAGACAGCAACCATCCCGCGTGAGGATGACCCTGCCTTCAGCCTCAGCGGGAGACTGTGGCCCAGGACCCTACCTCCCCCTGTCAAGCCTCCCAGGCATTTGGCTGCTGTGGGAGCATTTGCTCCATCAACGCCTCCTCTTAACTGCAAGCCAAATGAAACGGCAGGACCGGGGCTCGTTCCAGCCACCTCCCACACATGCAGCTGGCGGCACAGCAAGGAGCCTGCCGCTCTCCCGTGTGCTGGCCAAAGGTGGGTGGCCATGCGAGGGTACAGCGGGTGTGTGGGTGCTCTGCGCCTGCCCTTCACATCCCATCCCTGCCCTTCTCCCACCTCTCCTCCCTCTCTTTGCTTCCCACGGGTCGTGGCCACGTGCCACAGCAGGCACACCCTCCCCTACCCTCCGCCTCTGCTCTCACCTCTGCTTTGTTCTTGCTGTCACCACTTCCAGTCCTCTCCAGGGCTGTGTTGGCTGCAGACCTTGAGACAAGGCAATAGCAATGTCATCTCCAACAAGAAGCATCACCTACTCCTCCCGTCCCTGTTCTCCCTCTCCCGGCACACTGGGATCCTTTTGCATAAGCCTCAGCCAGGTTATCCCCACTTCTGGCGCACAGGCAGCTGAGGAGGTTGGGGTGCAATGAGGGACTGGTCGGGGCAGTGTGACACTAGAGGGCAACAGGAGCCTGTACCCCACTGCAGGATCAACAGCCCTGTGGTTCCCATAGCTCCAGTCCAGCTTGGGGCTGCCAGGCTAGAGCCTGGCCAGGCAGGACAGTGCAGAAAGGCTGCAAGGAGGTGCTTTGCTCAACCCTATAAACCCACAGCTAGCATTGGTACCTCCTTCTCATGCTACGTCCAGCCAGGAAAGCCAGCACAACAGCCACAGAGCCACAGCCCACCGTCACAGGCCAAAACACAGAGTCACTTGAGGCGGCAGAGTCTTGGAGGCCTGCTGCTCCTCGTCCTGCTGGGAAGACACCAAGGCAGAGGATGGAACACACACAGACCCCAGCCCTACTCACAGCTAGCATTGGTACCTCCTTCTCATGCTACGTCCAGCCAGGAAAGCCAGCACAACAGCCACAGAGCCACAGCCCACCGTCACAGGCCAAAACACAGAGTCACTTGAGGCGGCAGAGTCTTGGAGGCCTGCTGCTCCTCGTCCTGCTGGGAAGACACCAAGGCAGAGGATGGAACACACACAGACCCCAGCCCTACTTCAGAGTAATCATTGTGGCAGGTCCAAGAGTTGAGCCCCTGCAGCCCCTCTGTGTGGGGCTGAACGGGGCACGGGGAGCAGTCCTAAGTCACATACCTCTCTGTCCTGTGGGGCTGACGTACAGCACTGTGTGGTTCTTGAAGATGCTGCTGTTCTGGAGCAGCCGGATCTCGCACACGTACACGCCACTGTCATTCACCTGTACGTTCTGCAGCTGGATAGAGCCATCCCAGCGGGAGATGTCCCCTTGCCACCGCACCCGCTTTTGGAAACGGCCCACAGGAATGCTACGGTTGCTGTAGTAATAAAACACCATCTCCTCCTGCCAGGGCATAGACAGCATCAGGTGAAAGAAGCCCAGTGGAACGGCACTTCCCTTTGTGCCTTCCCTGCTCAAGAGCCCTCAGATCTGTGAGCTCTCCCTCTCTCTGTGGAGCAATCACCACACACGAGAGTCCAGCTCACTCCCACTACATCTTGGAAAGCCCCAGGACGCAGCATCCAGCGCTGTGGTTCCCCCACGGTGCAGGGCTCTGGGGAACCTCTGTACATAGAGGAACCTTCCTCATCTCGTGCCCAGACTGGGTGGATGGGCTTCCCCACAGCCTCCTGAGAGCAGCAAGGCTGCCTCGCTTGCCCCTCACTGTCACCCACCCCACAGTCCAACCCACCTTCTGCATGCCAGTTCCTGCCACACGCAGCCAGTCCACTTTGGTCATCGTCCAGCCTTTCACCGCCGGGTCTAGGAAGAGGCACTGCAGCAGGACAGAGTCCCCGGCACTGGCTCCAAGCTGAGGCTCCGTGAACACCCCGCCAGCCGATCCGCTGCAACGCTCC